TATATTTAGCTTGTAACTATTTACGGGCATTAACTGGTTTATGTTTAGACATTTGATCTAGTTGTCGGTCAGACCTTTACTTTTAACGCAAAATTGATAAACTCGTCTGGCAGTCTTAGAGCTAGCCCAATGACTAGCTTTGCTGCTGAACACTGAGAATCGGTTTTGACTGCTGTTCTTATCTCTAATATAACTAATGGCGGGAATCCTGTCCACTGAGCTGGGTTCGAGTGTGATATTAGAGCAGGTTTTAACTGACGATGAAAATGTCTTGTCATCCCATTAGCCTGAGGATGATATGTTATACAAGGTATTCTGCTAGTGTCTATAGGTCTCGTAAGTCGTTGAAAAGCTCAAAACCGAGCTGACCTATATCAGAAGTTATTGTAGTGAGCGTACCAAAAATGGTTACTCATTTCTGAACGAAAGCTGTGTTCACTGTTTCAGCTGTGATTTCGATTTTTGACATGGTTATCGAAACCTCGAGAACTTATAACTGAAATTAAATGTATAGTTAAAACCACTAGAACGCAGTAAAGGACCTACCAAATCGATGCGGATGTGGAAAAGACGCTCATCTAGTCGTGAGAAAACAACAAAAAGTGAACTTATATGACGGTTAACCTTTGATTATTGATACTCCGGACACCCTCCAACCCACTTGTGTACTTCTTTTCGTAACATTTGTCATATAAATCCACCATTAATTAGTTTAGTGAGAGCTTTTGCGCTGGGATGAGATAAATTATGAAAATCATCAGACATTAATTTTCGCATACTTTTGAGGACGAAAAGTTGAGACATCACCTTGTTCGTGCTACAGCATATGAAACTACCCTAAATATGTAATGGTAACTGCTTTTTAATTTAAGGCTGGAGTTCCTCACTGCAAGTAGGTTTTGCATTTTCTCTTCTCATTCTAGTTGTCCAAATAAGCTTCGAAATTTATGGTCGATTGTTAAATTATACTCATTTCCAGACGAAATAGTGCATCTGTCGCCTGGTTGTTTTGACCTATGACATGTTGTTTATCATTGAACTTCGATATAAAGCCAAGGTGTCGGATCGTTCGATGAGAATATTTATTTGCTTTAGCTTTTACTGCATTGGTTAATAGTTTTTGATCCGCATAAAAGTTGAACTTCTTGCCTTCCAACATGTCTCGGACATGCTTAGTGACTTGGTAGGAAGGAATATCTCGTCTCTGTTGGAGCGAGTATTTTTGAGAAGAACGCAACCGATTCCAAGGCGACTAACAAATATCCTGTATATCCTTGTGCAAGAGGTATATCTCGAGGTAAATTATCCATAAACCATTGACATTTCTGTGACACGTTCCTCAGGCCGAATGGTATGCTTACAAACTCCAGTAGTCCCAAAGGCATTGTAATTTATGTTTTAGGGATATCTTCTTCAGCTACTGGTATATTGTGATATGCCCTAACCAAGTTAGTTTTAGTAAATATGTCCGTTGGGTATTTGCAAAGTCTTAAATATGATGTACTGGGTACCTATGTGGTATGCATTGATTGCTGAGGGATCTGTAATCCTTACTAGATCGACAATCGCCATCATATTAATCTGGAATTACGTTCTGAGTGGATGCTCACTGGCCATCCGAAGGACTGACAACACAGAGGCTTATCATTTATCCAAACTCGGCTCCAGATATTTTCATTTCATCTGGCTCCAGTCTACTGAGTCTAGTAAACACAGGAGCACCACCAGTTTTGTTTGTATGGTCAACATTTGGCTTACTTCTGGAAGTTTTAGAGTTGGATTTAGTTACGCCTGAAAGTTCTACGAGCAGATCTTGGAACGTAGCAGTTGTTCATGGCGGTGTTTGTACCAAATTTAGGAAAGTGATGTGACTTTTTTTACCTTTCATGCAATTTTAAGTTATTTTAAGTGTTGAACATCGTTTCTAAGCGTCGAATAGAAATTCACATCTTTTTAAAAAGTTAATTCTGAGTATTGTCAAACCTAAACCCACATAGTGAACACCCGGGTAATCGCCTCCTTAACCCCGAATATGACTTCAGGTTTTCTCGCCTAAACGCCGCGCTTTTAATGTTCAACCCAGGTTGCATCGTATTAATGAATTATATTAAGTGCAGCAACGGTATCTACCAAAAGTTCACTACTGAATTTCTGTCTTGAACACAAAACAAGTGACTCCTCAGGCATCCCTTATCAGTCGTTGCGACCAGTGGAGGTGTTATTCGTTTCCCATTTTCTTGGGAGCCTATTTAGGCCAGACAGATGGCTGACTGCACCTCATAGATTTTGAACTAAACTTCCGGTGGAACCAACAGAATTGTCCAAACTCTCTCAACGTTCATGATCTGTTCTGTGACCTAGATCTCGGTTGTTGTGTTAACCTATTATTATTATTATTATTGTGTTAACCTACTTCTGTTTCTGTCATGCAGGTCTTTCGGTGATTCTAGTTTTTATGTGTGATGCATCGTACGCGCTCCAGCTGAAGGACTGCTCTTATCTGATCTGTCTGCAATACGTGTTACATGAGGCAAAGATATTTCTGGGTCATGAGTGTCTAGACAGTGTCGGAAGTAGCATGGGGGAGCTTGTATCCATCTTTGTTTGAGGACTGTTTCACCCACGGCGTTGTCATTAAGTATGACTCGAAGGTGATGCAAGAACTGTGATGGTGACTTATCACCTAATACTTTCGTATAGAAAAGCCTTTGAATTACTTAGCCGTCTGATGATTGTATACAGTTCACGATCTCAAGCCTTAAGATGGTGTATGGTTGTGACGTAGGAAGACTCAGAACTGAGCAGCAAAATTTGTGAGCATTTTAAGGAGGGAGCAATATTTTCAAATTTAATAATGTTCCCCATGAAATACTGCTGTAGTTGATCACATAGTAACTCTGGGTCACGTTTGTCACATTCCGGCAATCAGTCTTTTATAGTCACAACAGTATCTATTTCTGTCGGCGGTTGAGTTTAAAATGTGGTATTTAACACATATATTAATATAATATAAGCGAGGTAAAAATTAATCTCAACACGAATACTGTGATATATATATATATGGAACTTACGTTAAAGATAATCTTACTGATCCGTCAGAAAATTCACTTTTATGACAAGACAAAAAATAGGTAGAATAGAAAGGATTTCGTGATCAAAACTGGGTTTACCAATCTAATGCCGATAGCTACTCCTCATTTTTATACGTCGAAAACCCAGGTGTTTGTAGTGAGGTTCCAGTTTCAAGCATATGATATGATGCATAAAGTACTGGGAAATTGTTTGGAGACCGATTGATCATTCTTATAACTAGGTCGTCACAACTAAGGAATAGGAGATGAGTTCAAAAGTCGAAGGCCAATTTTTAAGGAGTAGGGTTTTCCAGGATGAGAATTCAACTCTTGAGACCCAATTTATTTATTTGTTTGTTTAAACATATAAACATTGATACGAGGATGCAACAGATAGATAGGCGCCACATAAATCATTCTATTTGTGTGAGGGCTGGGATACCGCCCGGGAGCCCAAACCGAGGCGGGTGGTTTTATTACGGGGCCACATCCCGAGCCTCTGACCTAAAGGTCTAATTCACAAGGTAGTGGAGCAACTTCAGGAGATGCAGTTCCATGATAGCCGTTGACCAACAATAGGTTCGTACGCCATTTATTTTCTTAGGGTCCTAGAGCCTATGTACACCATTGGTTTAGAACAAGGGTTTTCCAACTCGCTTAGGTGGATTCTCCGTGTCTACCAACCCGGGTAAAGCACTGGAAATACACATTCCGTCCTCCTACTTTCGTGAACCACACCATCGCCGCGAAGAAGGCAGTGAATAGGCCTTCTCTGGCATTGGTTTTATGCACATGGCCATGTGAGAGCATTTCGAGTGGGAGAGCTGACTGTGCCTACTCTCGGCTGTATCAGGGCATTAGGGGACCCAATTCAAACGGTTTTGTGCTTACCACATCGGTCCGAATGTTGAAGAACTGGATGGATAAAAAATCTCACTAGAAAAAAACTAATAAGGAACTTAAGATTTTTGTCGGCGTAGCAATGTCTGAATCTAAGAATGCTAGAAGTAGTGAAGAAAGGGCATACAAACAAGAAATTGTGTACATAATCAGAATGATAATACACTAATCATGGATACACAGGACAATAAAATTCCCACAAAACATATATATTTACTATCTCGATACAACATTGTTCTTATTGAACGAGTTTTGTTCATTGCCGCATACACAACCTAAGTGAGAACTAAGCTTGAGAACTGTGTTCAGGCAGCAAGCGCGTGTTTAAAAGGTGACTCGAATATCATTGAAGAAGTAAAATGGGCAGCTACCCGCGCGATTCCAAAACTCCTAGTGTAACGGGATTAAAATCATCATGTATGATGTTGTTTCTTTCTATTGCAGGGCAAGTAAGAATAAACGCTTTAGAAGAAGAAGAGCAAGCCCTACACGAACTAAACTTACAGGATGACTCATAAGACCGTTTTGTAAATTAGCTCTCTTTCTGCACAGAACCCGCGAATTTTAATTATAAAATAAACTACTGTTGGTCTCCGTTCCGCGTTCTCTCTGTGATGTGAAGTGTTCAGTTAACATCGTGTGTGTTGTGGGTTTAGGCCTTCCCGCCTTCCAGTGACTGCTGATTACACGTGTTACACTAGATTTACCATACCAAGAGCGGCCTGAAAAGCTAGACCTCTTTACTCTGTCCTACCACATGTTATGAGGTGATCTGATTTTGGTGTATTGGATAGTAAGAAATGATTTTGGACGTAATATATCCTCCCTGTTTCCTCCCATTAGGTTGAGACATCCCAGGGTACATAGCGAGCGATTAGGAAAGCCAAGAACAAACAAGATACCCGTGGCATACAGGTTCTCACACCGAATCTTTAATTATTGGAACATGATACCCAGAGCAGTGGTGTCCGCACATTTAATCAACTCATTCAAGAGAAGACCGGACGCTCAAAGGAGTACTCTAGGAAAGGAATAACATAGGCCATAAGTCTTTTTCCCTTACTACAGAAATCTGAAATCTTAATCTTTGTTTTTCCGGATAGAGTGAAATTGGTCCTTGAGAGAGATTTTAAAATCTTGTTCTTTGTACTCCCGTTTTCGCTGGTAATGTACTTGGTCCCACAGAGTTTTCCGACTCGAGTAAGATTTGGTGTTTATAGGCAGTTTTTTCAGATCGGTCTCAGTTGCTCCAGATCAGTCTTTAGAAAATTGTCCACATCCTTATGTTTCCATAGGGAATTCTACTGGAACGATCGGTACGATAATAATGAGGAGGTAAATTAACAAAGTCAATCACTGTTTGTTTAGATTACCTGAGGGGTTTTCTGTTAGATTAATAATACTGCTGGGAGTAGCTTTTTAGTTTGATTTGTTTTAACGTGATATTCTAATCTCCCTATTTTTGAGAAAAATCTTGTCTGTTTCGGAGAATCCACAATAGAAAACTTCGGGGAAATGGCACAAGACCCCGAAATTTCTTCAGGTCTGAGGAAAGTCCCCAGAATGTCCGGGGGGAGGTTTCTTCCAATATTACCCAGAATCTTATAACACTGGGGTTTATCCCCCAAAATTTCACAAACTTTGGGGAAAACAACTTAACTTCTTACGACTTTGAAAAAAACTTCAGATTAGGGGGATTGGGATTTAACACATGTGTGCGTCGTTTTTCTGGTATTTTATGAAGTGTGGGAAAATGTAAAATTGTTTCAGAATTTAGTTTTAAGCTATGCTGACAATTGAAGTATAGTTCACCTCGTAACCGAACTAAGTGATTAAAGATGTCACGGATGTTCAGGTCTTGGGAACGCTTTTACCTACGACACTTACAATCGTAGGATCCCAGACCCAGTCAAATGAGAAGTCAAGACTGAGTGAGTTTAAAGATATGTTTGGCAGGTAGTCGTTGTGTCAAGAATTATGTGACCCAAGCTGGCTAGTTATTGCGAAGGATGCGCAACACAGTGTACACAATGGTCTGGTGCGGATGCGTGACCAAGAGCTAGAATGTGTCCCGTAAAGCTAATTAGTTCAACATTAATGTCAAAGAATCTCAGAGCTACTTATTTTGTTGATTTATTTGCCGCTACATAATTTTTGACGTAGTGTGTTTTCGCTAATGAACTTTCAATGTCGTGGCAAGAATCTCAGTTGTGTGACGGTTGAAAGAAGTCCGGAATATTTTTTTAATAACGTATAAAGACCCGAACTCTTCAGTTAGAAATGCTTGTGTCGAGGCCTTGGGTAATGTAAGATAGTATCACTTGGTCGTCCAATTTTATTTATATTGAAGTATTTGTAGAGGAACTAGTTTAAACGCACGAGAATTTCTAAACGATAAATGTAGAATAAGAGAGTAAATATTTTCTACGAACATATGCAATTTATAATCAACATATAGATTAGCAAACTCAGTTATGTATACGTATTGTTACCGACACTCATAATAAAGTATGTGCACCAATACTGAAGTCATTAAAGTTTCAAAAACATTTAAGTGACTAGCAATTTAATTACCTCAGTAGCATCAAAACCATTGAGCATCATTTACTTATGTTTTATTGTTTTCATATGTTCCCACCTTAAAACGTGATTATCGAATTGCATCATACGAAATTAAAGTTTGTAAAAAAGTATCCAAAATACAGTGAATAAGGTTTCTAATTACTCAGAATACTCTATATTTGATCCTATATCCCTCTATGTTTTTCATCTGTTTAACAAGCATAAACCTCACTAGGTAAATTTAGTGTCCCATCACTTCATAATATTTATTCGTCTCGATAAAATTTACAGTACATTAAACTTCAGTAATAAGGATAGGAGGTCTGTCGACCTATATTAATCCTTGCAGTTTGTAATACTGTGGAGGCTCAATCTCGTTTTGAATATATTAACAGACGGTGCTGATACTACGTGTTCCGGTAGAGAATTCCAGTAATTCACTACTCGGTGCGAGAAACGGAACTCCAGACGTAAACGGTTTGATCTCGGTTTTGGATAAGTTTCATCCTTAATCTAATCGCATTTGGGTCCAGGATATTTGAAACATTTTGCTTCAGCAAGGATGATAAAGCTTCGTATTTGAATGCTTACTAAGCGATAAAGCCTTTATGTGCTTGGTTGTTTTAGGAAAAATTAGCTTTGTCGGTATATTTTCCATCATAATACTAAGACTCTAACAGAAGTACGATAATTAAGTTCTGGTCTAGCTTGATAGCACTTTAGACATTCTTTAAGTTAGTGATCTTTTTATCTCCATATGCAACTAAAACCTGTGTTACAGATATTAAACCACTTTGCACCTTGACATTCAATGCTGGATAGCATAAAATTCGTTGAAAGAAGACTAAAAGTGAACAGAGATAGACATAGTATCGGTCTATAAATCTATTGCCTCTAATTCATCCTTGTGGGGAGGTGCGGACTACATGGTTGTCCTAGGTGCATAAACTTTTCCACCTTGGTTTAGGTTTTCAACGTTGTTTCGTTACTCTGCGAATCTAGTTCTTTTCTCAAATCATATCTTCTATGCTTATTTTTTCATACCAATACATTGTATTATTGCTTCGACTCCTTTTGTTGTAATTTCTCTTATTTTGACCCAGCTACTGTTGCTTAGTGTTCTTGGACACTACTTCACTCGATAATTCCCATAGCACACGGTTGTACAGGAACGAAATTGTGTTCCAAATAACAAAAGTAGATGGAAGTAGGAATCGCAATAAGAAAAACGTTAGTATATTTATAATTTTTACACGAGATTCTAGAGTTTTTTTAAGTATCCACTAGTGGAATATGATTCAATGCAATTTATATTCCGCTAATGCCTTTACTATGCATAGTGTACTGAGGCAGTTTGGCGTGATGAATGTTTGCGTCAGAACCTATGTTTTTTATGTCTGTCTCATGAGCCGAAAAGATCTACTTTCAAATTCACAGTCTTCATTTACGTTTCACTTAAGTTTCTATATTCCGGGTTACCTTTTTAAAGTTTGGAGACAGTACATTACTACATAGCATTGTGAATGTCTCATCGGCAACAAGGCCATTTTATCCGTTTCGTTATGTAGGATTTTGATAATTTAGTACAAATACATACGGGGCAAATTACCACTTTTTCTACTTAAACTTATTCTGATGTTAATTAAATTTCTTGAAGAAATCAACCACATTTTTAGTCCTGGTGAAACTTTTATAACACAGGACATGACTCCTAGTTATCCTTAGTGAAGCGATTTTTGGTTTATCACCTGAATACCAAACTCTCTTCTGGGTTAAACGTAAGGACTAATTTAAAAATTTATGCCTAAATATAACTAGTCATCATACACAATCAGCAGTCTTAAATTATGTTAATCTTCACTTTAGGGATGTCTATTGCTTAATATTGCTTTCCACTACTCGTTAGTAGGCATCTTTTCTTTCACTAATCACTTCCCGCATTTTGACGGGGAACAACATGGTGTTTACTGTTATCGAGTGTCATGTTTTACTCAGGTGAGCATGGGTCAGTAATGTAAGTGAAATCTCGAGCTTTTCGAGTGAACTGGATAGTATTAGAAATTCAGCAGATTAGGATATTTTATCACTTACTATTTATGATGAAATACAGTTACACTTCAGTGTTTCAGTTCAGAATTCCTCGCTAGTGATTACATGGTCATCCGGAGTAATTTAAATTAACCTTCAGTTGATATTTTAAGTTGAGCTTAATTTCACAACGGTAAATTAGTAGTTAAAGCATTAAACTCACTCGATAGTTTGTAGTATATACCCTTACTCCACATGCTTGGTTATGGCAACTGAGTATTACCACTAGCGATCACGCAGAAAGTGCACATAATGATAAGCCTAAAAACCTGCATTTGGTTGCTGATTTATTTTTTTATACCTAGTTTCACTCCACTCATGAGGACAATATACTATAGATATATAAAAGCGTGTCGGGCATTCAATCCATTTCCGGAGCCGGGATTAATATTTAACCACAAGTAAAACCGATTTGTTTATCTCAGTTACGGACCATTGTTGCGTTGTGTCAATCATATGACTTCAGATACTGTATGTTTTCTTATAAATGGGCCGATTTCTCCAAAGGCTAGTTATCTCCTTAAAAGTAAGTCCAAAGATCCAAAAACTAATTATCGTTTTAAACTGTTTCTAATGAGTAAAATCTCTTATAACCATAATGCGGATCCTTCGTCATAATAATGTTTTTGCGTTTACAACAAGTGTTTTCATCAGTCAGATTGAAATATGATCATAGGACAATATTCGACCAAAAATTGGTCAATTTCCAATTGATCGTATCTTTACTGATAGATTAAAGCAATGTTGTCAGATTATCGTGAAACTCTGAACGCTAAGGAGCAAAAGCATCTGCAATAGATGTCGAATAAAAGTTCGCGTAGTGATCATAAAGAGTGATAGGAAGAGAAAGCGAAAAAAGTTCGTAAAGTGCTTGTTAGTCAGTATGATTATTAATTTACCAGTGTTTTTCTGTTACTGGGTGTTAAAAATAGAATTGTTTATTTTCCTTAGAAGTTCGACAAAGTACTCATAGCAAATCGAGGTGAAATCGCCTGCCGTATAATCCAGTCATGTAAACGACTAGGGATTCGCACTGTCGCTATTCACAGCGAAGTGGATTATTTATCTCGTTTTGTGTCCATGGCGGACGAAGCAGTATGTGTTGGTCCACCTCCAAGTGCCCAATCTTATCTAAATATGCCTGCTATTTTAAACGCTGTAAAGTCGACGGGTGCCCAAGCAGTACATCCTGGTTATGGCTTTTTGTCAGAAAACACTCTTTTTGCGGCGGAGTTGGAGAAAATGAATGTTGTCTTTCTTGGTCCTAATTCTAGAGCTATAAAAGCTATGGGAGATAAAATTGAGAGCAAACGAATTGCTAATCAAGCTAAAGTTAATTGTATCCCAGGTTATGATGGAGAAGTGGATGGTCCAGATGAAGCTGCTAGGATTGCTGCTGAAATCGGTAAAACTATTTTGTATAATTTTCTCGACATAAAAATATATCAAAAAGTTGTATCCATTTTAATTGTTGTTTATTAAGATTTCTTCATATTAATTTTGAAATATTTTTTTTACAAATTAAATATAATATAAAATTTTTTACCCAGTTAAATAAAAGTAATAAAATCTACAGGATTTTGTACTTTGGTCATAATGTGAACTGATCTAGAACTAGATAATATAGTTTTATTTTCCTAATTCAACACAACTGATTACAACTCATGGTATAATGTTAATATGCGATAATTTTTGTATTTGTACTTTGATTCTCTTTACCTTTATAGGTTATCCTGTGATGATTAAAGCATCTGCAGGTGGTGGAGGTAAAGGTATGCGTATAGCATGGAATGAAAAAGAGGCTCGCGAAGGTTATCGACTTTCTAAATCAGAAGCAAAAGCCAGTTTTGGAGATGATCGCATGTTAATTGAAAAATTTATAGACAATCCAAGACATATTGAAATACAGGTAGTTCTTATTGCGTTACAGTATTATTATTTGTTTTGTTTCTTTGAATGATCGTAATTATAGCTAATTCATATTTTAAATGTACAAATGTTGAGATTGTCGCTGAGGATGAAGACAAAGCCTCAACGTGGCGCTCCTGAATAGAATGGACAACCTTGTTAGCTAATTTAGGCGGTCGGCGGTATCGGGCTAGTCTACTACTATGCTGTAGACCGGATTAACTGAGTTCCATTTTCGGAGCTCTTTAAAATCTTGCGGACTGCCCTATATGTATGCCTATGTATGTGAATTGTGTGAGTCTTGACTTTTGTGGTTTATGTATTTAGGTATATGCAAAAAATACGCAGGTTGGTTTGCGCAAGAAAAGTAGGCTCAAAAAATGTCTGCCATATGTCTAATAAGGTTAGCGGTCTAGTCCTTCGGGTCCAAAACATAACAATAGAATATAGTTGCAAATGCTAGGGAGAGGTGACTACCAATCCTCCCTGAAAGAGTGTTTATGCTTATGTGTATGTCATGAAGTCCAAGGGTGAAAGTCTTTGTGACAGTGATATACATGTAATGCGTGACATTCAGCTGTAGTAAATACGTTCGGAGGAAACGGTTACCATCTACCTTCCTAAGTAAGTGAATATACCTGTGTGTGTCCTATGGAATGCGTGAGTGAAAACTCTTGTGTTACCAGTGTACATGTAGCATATATTTGCTCACAGGGTAAGTATACCAATGTGTATGTCAAGGGATTAATGGGTGAAAATGTATGTCACCGGTAGGCATGTAAATTATACTTGCACGTGATGCGATGCTCGCTCTCCAAGACCTAAGGGTAACGAATTCTCCACGCAATCACATCCAATCGGTGGATTTTTGAGGCTTGTAAGACGGAAATAATTTCCAGGAAAGTCATTCGGCTCCAGCGGATAAGACTTCACCAACCTTAACACGACTGGGACACCGTACCGCACTGAGGATGAAAATGATAAGTATAAACAATTAATTAATCTTATCGTGTATGGTTTTTAAAGCATATCTGTTATTGTGGATTTTTTAGTAATCTCTTTATGCTTTTCATTTGTAATTAATTTTTACGTGTTAGTTAGATAAACTCCATGGCATCACCTGTACGAGCCTCAGACGTCATAATAAAAATATTTCATTTATTTAATTAGTTAGACTACGCTTCATGTAAGACATAATTTCCTCAAGAATATATCACAATTGATTAACTGTGCAAAAATAGTATGAATTTCATTTCTTCTGTTTTAAACACCGTCTTTTTCTTTTGAGTTATCGTTCTATGGAAGGAGATTTAATGTTAATCGTTATCGCCAACGTTTCATCCCACACCGTTATTATTTACATTTGTTTATCTGGTCTGTAATTTAGCAGCCACCAAAGTCTATCCGTTTTATTTCACATAAAATAATTTATAATCTCCCTGTTCCTACGGAGGGAATTCGATAGATCTTAGAGATGTAAACTTGTTCATCGTTATTGTACTTCATATAGTGTGTAATATCGAACTTGCTATGTACATCTATGACCATGGTAACTCATAGCCTGGTTGTCAGCATTTGTGGTAACCGTTGAATGGTTCGTCTCCAGCTTCTAATGAGTTGGAGTTACTCTTCTCATTTCACGTCACCTTTCTTACGAACTTGTCTGCACTATGAGTAGTAGTAAGAGTAATGTTCTTTATTCGGCTACTTACTGTTCTGAAGATAAACAAATAGAAATCAACATATTTCTTCACAAATTATGGACCAATTAGAGTTACTACGCTTAGCAGAAATAAAAAAATAGTGCGTAGAATAATATGTAGTAAGATTTTCAATATATGTGTGATAATTGAATGGCCAAAGGGCTTATGGCCGGTGTTAAGCTGTCTTCTTGTGCTTCCAACAGCTGATTTTTATCATCTTGAGGACCTTACCCTGCAAACTTTTATACCACTACAAAATACAGAACAACAATATAGACTAACACTTTGTTTTGTTTTCCTAACTCAGTTCAAGGTCCTGCCTTGTAATAAATGAGATACACCCTGCATAATACACACAGTTCAGTCGATGGAGGCTTTTTATTTCACTAGCTTATTATCTTTTCCGGAAACTTTGCCTATAATCTCAACACCTTGCTCAGTGGTTTGTTTGCGCGAGCAATGCTTTGGAGATACCTTGCTTTCTCCAATAATACGCATAAAATTATCATCATCTAGAGAGTTAATGTCGTTATGATATGTATCCACACAAAATAACATTCATCCATAAATGTTAACCACAATTTGAAATGGCAAAATACAACTTTCGATCCCCAAATTATATTTTATTAAGTTATATATCTGTAGAAAAATCTCCCGAAGAGCTTACATGAATTGAACAATATAAGAACCTCCCTTTTATTTAAAAATGATCAACTAGAAAGCAGCTAGCAGTAACATGAACACTGTTGGCACAGGTTAACAGTCTTTATTAACAATTATATTTTGACGTTTAAAACTTCGAGTTTAAACCACCCTGAAAAATTAAATACTTAGTTTCGTTAATTTGTTATCTATGATAATATATTTGCTTTACAGGACTAAGATTTCTTTTGGGTTGTTGGAAAGACATTTGCTAAAGGACCCTTTATTACTCCAGTAAACTTGTAATCATTGTGCATTTTGAATCCTGTTTAAAATTTATCTTAATTTGATGTTTGTCAGACTTATTAATTTGAAGTTTTCGCTATGAACTGACATCAATTAAATAACTATCTTTAAATAAGTGAGCTATGTTTCATCTTTCAGTTTGATCTCTCATCACTACATAGTTGATACAAGGTGTTCTTAGTGGGATGTGATAGCCATAAACTCATTCCAGAAAAATAATCACAACCCCGTGGACAGGGAAGTTTTGCTGTGTCGTGTAGTTATCAATAGTTTACCAGCTAGTGTAAGTTTGCAGACAGAAAACATCAGACATCCTCATTCTATCTGTATGCCACGTAATATCAAGTATTACAATATTTCATAAGACTTTTGTAAACGTGAGAAAACATGTCACTATTTTATGAAGGCTAGTAATATTATATAGATTCCCGTTTTTCTGATTCAAATTAATATCCATAGACTAAATTTGAATTTTTGTTATTTATTATACAGGTACTGTGTGACAGACATGGAAATGCAATTTATCTTAATGAACGGGAATGCTCTATTCAAAGACGCAATCAGAAAGTCATTGAGGAAGCGCCTAGCACATTTTTGGACCCAGCTTCACGTAAAGCAATGGGCGAACAAGCTATCTCGTTAGCCAAAGCAGTTGGTTATGATTCTGCAGGTGATAATTATATACATGTATATTTCATGAAATCATAAATGTTGTGTATCTTTAAGTTAATTGTATTTGTAATCTTTTTAAATGGTCGTTCTTAATATCATCGCATTATTTTTTCCCATGTTTACTATTTTTGTCGTGAAATAAAAATGACCAATTTCAATAGCGAATGGAATTTATTGTCAGATATGGGAAAATATATTCTCCGCAAAGTGTGTATTCTACGTATAACTCCCAAGTGTTAATCTAGTATTTATGTTAAAGCCTTCCTATTGTAGATGCATAATTTGATAACTCTAGGCCGATAATTTAATGGGCTTTTTTTCGATAGTATGTTACTTTTCTTCATCCCTCTTATTTTTAATATGAAATGGGAATTTTATTTATTAGTTCTGAAGGACTGAATAATCAAACAGGATTTTGCTATTGAAATGATATTTGCGTAAGCTATCAACTCTTGAGGATGAACATACATCACTTATTGCATATTATTATTATTATATTTCTGTTTGTTAACTCTGCAAGAATGGCAGGGGCCTGTGCATGTGCTCACTTCTTATGGAAAACCGTTAAACATGGTGGAGGATTTTATGTATTTAGGTAGCTATATGGGTGCTGGTTTTGGGGTAGCAACTGAGACCAATCTACTCATAATGAAAGGAAGAGCAGCTTAAGCTAATCTTGCTATGTTTGGCGCCGTCACGATTGTCTAGCTGTAGAGAATTTGATTTTTTTCGTCGGTGAGGGCAATCTCTCGCTGTTTGTGATACCTGTGTCCCTTCAAGCTGAAGAGGTTTGGGGGCTATTTTCAATCATGGTTATCATGGAAGGATTGTTAACATCCGATGACAACCTCATGTTAGTGATAGTGAGGTTAAAAATGTTTGTACAGGTGCAGTGAAAATCCAATTGGTCTCATCATCTTAAAACACTATTTTCGGTGGCTTGGTCATGTTTTATGAATGCCATCTAAGCGGAATCCGAATCGTGGATCATTTCCAGATGCTAGGACTATGTATTACAAGTGTAAAAGTGATTACTTCACGATAGGGTCATAGTATTGGAGATATTCGTATAGGACTGCTATCACGAATGTGTATTTGGTATCCTAGAGATTGTGTGACTTAGTGGCTTGTGGCGTAATCAGAAATGATTAATAGTAGGAACCAATGACGGTCGTACTATAGTTTCCTACTACACTTCATTAAAGTGAAATATATTTTTAACCAAAATGTGACTCATAGTCAACTTTTTCTGTTCATTTCCTTATTGATTTTACTGCCCTTCTCTCCTGTATTTCTTCCAAATACTGCCGCTCTATTTGTGTGGTGCATGTTTTATTCTGTTCAGGGCTAGGATTTTCAATCTATGCAAAGTGTTTATTTCATGTATTTTATGTTTTTATAATGCGAAATTGTTTAGGAACTGTTGAGTTTTTGGTTGATTCCAAACGTAATTTCTATTTTCTTGAGATGAACACTCGACTTCAAGTAGAGCATCCAATCACTGAGTGCATAACTGGTGTTGATGTTGTACATCAAATGCTTCGAGTTGGTAAAGGACATCCGTTAATGCTATCTCAGGTGAGATTTATGCAGTTTTAGGTGTAATCTAACCTTACATAAATTATCTCTGCTTTTCTGTGACTATGCTTTAAAGTAATAATTCTCTTGTTTGATTTTCTACTATGATTACTATCAAATGCATACAGTTGGAACATAATTCTAAAAGTAAGTAACCAGAAGGATAAATCTAAAAAGTAAAACGCAAACAGCCTTAGTGTTAAATTGAGACTAAAAATGAAGTAATTTTTTTTCATTTATTGGCTAAGTAGCAATTTTTCGTATAGTTTGGCACTTTGCTTCAATAATTGATTAAATAGGAGTGTCAAAAAGGCACAATATATCGTTCGTAATTTTTAGATACTGGATTTGAACTACACTGGATGGTATTCGCGTGACTTATATGACCAATTAGCAGTAGAAAGTCAATGATGAATAAGTATAATCAATTTAAAACTGTAATCTTTACACACAACCAAAGTGGAGAAGATTTGTAGCTCAGGTGAATGATTTTGATAGTTTTTTTCTTTGAGCTGGATGGTTTAGTCGTGGAGCTTTCATCGTTCTTCTGAACGACATCATTGGCACAAACTTCAGGTTGAAGTAGTATAGCTTTCAACTAGTTTTATTTTTACGCACTACATTAAAAAATATCGTTATCTTTATTATTCCATATCATTCCTATCAATCTTTATATTTTAAAATAACCTCAGCGAAAGTAATTTATATTATCCCACTTAGAATGAAGTAAACTAAATTATTTGTAATTTGAAATATCATCTTAATCTCTTGAATGATCATGTTTTAGTGACTCAGTATCTGATTCCAATTTGATCGTATGAATGACTGTTATGGAGTGATCATTTTCGAAATATATATGCCATCAATCCTCGTACATAATCATGAACATTAATAGCGTTAGTGTATAACGGAATTTAATAAGCCAAATACGAGAATGAATTTCGCATACGTATATTTTGTATAATCATTGATGCAGGTTGATGATCAAAAGAACGAAGCGAAACGAGATGATACGCGGTGAAGACGGCATGTGAATCAACTCTATTTAATCAAGCGTTAATCGATAATTATAGTCACACAAAAATAAGTTACAGACATGTAATGTGTAGGATACGAAATGTACGCACTTACGTTCATATAAAAACAGTAAAGGTTGTTAAGCTAATAATTGACAAGGTCAAAATGTGATTTAAGAAGAATGAATAAATGGGTTTGTCTGGAGACCAGAATAACCTATGTGGGCTTAACATAACAATCGACACTACAATGTTTACAAATTAGATAATTCTTCTACCACATCATTATTCAATGTTGCAAGGCTTAGTGGCAGTAAATTTAATTTTATTTTGTCCGTGTATTTCATTTGGAACAGGGAATTCAAAGTATTGATGGTCCTTTTTCTAGATACAGCACAAAATCATATACATATTTTGCAAGTTAATGAGACTAATTTATGGCATGGCTAATATGATTATTTTTGTGCTATTATATGGGATTATACATCTCTAGACCAATTAAAATTAACTAAAAGTTCATGAGTATCAGGAATATGTAGTGAAATATGTGATCCATTTGTTTAAAAGGTAGATCTCGATAATGCAACGAGAAAACGAAGTTTATCAGAATTATGTGATATATTTGCGCAATACATTTCGAACATTCTGATCTGCAATTAAAGGTGGGTTAACACACACCAAAATGTCTGCAAAAACAAATGAATTGCAATGGTCAAATAAGATCACATGATAGACAGACATCTTCCTCCATTACGAAATATTTGGTTGAGACTGGTCATAAGGTTGACATCAAGTCAGCATTTGTAGTGTTATACAAAAGCCTTCAAGGACATATACTAGGGTTTATTGAAGCCTTGGCTATACGGAAATTAAAAACCCCTTTATGTGTTCAAAAACAATTTGTTCTTACCCTTAACCTACCCTGATAATACCGATTTATTGTCCAGAGTGGTTATTACATTGTTTTTGTGTGCTTTATTCTTTTTCTTTGTTGCGGCTTACCTTTAACCTGTCTAGTTGACCTTTTGATTTTCATATATAAATGTCTTAACAAGTCTATGTGTGATCAGATTGTTCAAAATGTATTGCGCAAATGTGTCACATAATTCTGATAAACTTCGTCTTCTCATTGTATTATCGGAATTTATCAAAGGGACTAATTGTTTTAAAAGGTAAAGATTTGAAACAACTATTTTTAAAAAAGAATTAAACGTTCAGTCCCTTCTGAATCTTCTTTATTGTTTCTTTGTCCTAAAACATCACCAAATCTGGGACTTCTTTATTTTTTGCGAAAAAAACCTGCTTAAAATTGAATTTCAGTTATATGGAATATCAACCTCTTATTCTACTTATCTATTAAAATTACAGATATTATCTTGTCTTTATATTACTTTAAGATATGAATGGTAATTGTTACTATAATGGTTTTAATCTAGTTAAAGATTAATTTAGTGAAATAATATTTTGTAATTAGACGATACTTTATTGGAATTTTTTTTATCAACGATCTAATTTGCTTATTTCTCTTGTCTTACAATTGTTCTAAAGTTACGTCTTTAGTTTCTGTTAAAAATTTTACTTACTAATCAAGTATAGATATGTGTTAAGAAATTATCTTTGAATACGGAATTTGTTCTTTCACTTTGTTTAATGTGTAGATACATTCAGCAGAAACATCATAGATCATCAGGCATTAATCTAATTATGAATATGGGTTTAAAATAACGGTCATGGGTTGTTTGTACTTTCCGAGTTCTAATAAGTCCATACTTATTGCTTTGATTTGTTTTATTATTAGAGTATTTCTGTTGAAGTATATATCCTACTCGTTTTTCCTCTTATGTATCCTTCAGTCTACTAAATAATCCATTTTAATGTATTGTATAGTCCTTTTAAATTTTCATTTTAATTAGTCTGATATACCCGTGAATGGATGGGCTTTTGAGTGTCGTGTATATGCTGAAGATCCATACAAAGCGTTTGGTTTACCATCGATCGGGCGTTTACGTACTTACAGTGAACCTTTGCACATACCTAATGTCCGCTGTGATAGTGGAATCACTGAAGGATCGGAGATCTCTATATACTATGATCCTATGATCTGTAAACTTGTTACATATGGACCAGATCGTCAAACTGCCCTAAACACTATGGCCAAAGCTTTGGACAGTTATGTTATTCGTGGTGTGACTCATAATATTCCTTTGCTTCGTGATATTGTCACCGAAAAACGTTTTGTATCTGGGAATATTTCGACAAAGTATCTATCTGAAGTGTATCCTGATGGATTCAAAGGTTCATTTTATTCCAAACATTTAGCGGTTGTTTTATAAACAGATGTAATCGCATATTGTTTTTTAGGTGGCTATTATAGTCTTGTTAATGTTAAGATTTCAAATATATGTACTTCGGTATCATGTTAAGTACATATTTAGTTTGTGAAGATCCCCTTTATTACAAACATCACATACAGTAATGTGTCTGGGAGCTGGCTGCTGTCTTGATCAGTACTCAAGTTATAAATAAAATTTGACTGTTTAACACAGCGTTAACAAATTTTTTTGTTATTCCTAATCTCGATGTATATTGATCAACTGCTTTTTATCTTCCCACTTCAATGTTTCCTTAATATCGAAGATGTATGGAGATTGTTCTCTTTGAAAATAATTTACACCATAGGTTGAATCTAGTGAGGGAATTTCCAAAATTCATTAGAGAGCTGTTTCGTCATATTATGAGACTTTTAGATAGTGTGCACCAGAGACCGAAACTAAAGCATTCAAACTTAATGAGGAGTGCATTATCTTTAAGCCACTAAGTTTGGATTCAATGGTTCTCATTTCCAACTTTAATTGATTTGCAATATTTCGCGAGCACCATTCATTGTCGCCAGTAATAGCTGCCTAACACCTGACATAACTGAATCTTATCGGTTACAGTTTCTCACAAGAACTGTCCTATTTAGCTACACTTTTTGACTAAGTAGAATTTTCACATTCATTCTCTGCCAATGGAATTTATTAAATCGTTTGATTATATATAGAAGAGATAGATTGTGGCTAGTGGTGGAATCTAGGACGCGTGACTCGTCAACTGGATACATCTGCATCCCAATATTGATGTTCACTCTAGGTTTGATCATAATTTGCTATACGGAGACTCGTAACTGCGTAATCTTGGTTGATTAATATCTTGTGAATCCCCTCATTTTTAATTATAGAACTGTATTTAAAGCTTAAATAGTCGTTCATGCTCCTTTTGTTATATAGGCTGTCAGTTTCGTATAATTACATTAAGCTTTTTTTTATCGATGATTGGTTATCAGATCTATTTGTAGCCTTAAATGAGGTATTTCAAATTAGATATTTTTGTGAATCTTACTTTTGATCTTTAGGTAAAGTACTTGATCAAAAAGAACTAGATACATTAATTTCTGTTTCTGCATCTATATTTGCTAAAAATGATGCACGCATTCGAAACTGTTCTGGGTAAGTTGTCGCACAATAAAATTTTATTCTATAATCAAAAGGATTAATTCATTATTGAATTCTTTTAGTTCTTTTGTTAGAGAAATTAATCCTGGATAGATAGATACTAGCTCGACACAATAATACGAATTTTGTTAGTGCATGTTAATTTGATTTCTAGTTTACTTCACGAACTGACTTCAGATAGACAACTATTAAGAACCTTAGAAGTACTGGATATTTGTTCTGTCCCGGGTATGGGATTCCTCAATAGTGCAGATCCACGACCACATAAGGAGTCGAACACAGAATGTTCAAAATTTGTGTTATTAACTTTTAAAAATTTCTAACATTATCCCGTTCTCAATGTCGTGCAGAAACTTATGTAGATATTTTTCTGTTTTTTTCTTGTCACTTGAAGGACAGCTGAACATTTATATCACACTAATTAGACTTACGCTACCGTGTATCAGTTTAAGGAGAAAGTATTATGATCAGTAGAACAAATGGTTTTCTTAAATGATTTTTATCAAATTCATCAATTATTATAAGCATTCCTGTAAAGGTATTGAGTGATTCCTCTGACTTCGGGACTTACTTTATCATCGAAATATTCTTTATATGAGTATACAAATGAGATCTATCTTGTAACAATAAAAAATTCAGTTTACCTAGAATTCGAAGCCAAAATTTATAAACGTTGAAAAATTTTCCTGTAAGTTAAATCGTATAGGCTTCTTTACAGCGGTGCTTAATTTTAGTATTAATAATAAATCAAGTTTGTAGAAACCTTGTTGTTGTTGTCAGAATGTGAGATTATCTCCAATGTTACGTAAAAAATCAGGTACGATTGAAATTGGTAATACGTTAGACTTCCCTTATCAGCTAACATTAAACAGAAATTTCATGCTCAATCTCCGATAATTGAATACATTTTGCTATCTTTCTAACTTTTTTTACAAGACTTAATGTTTTTTGAAAAAAATGTCAAACCAGCAAGTATTTTATCGAATGGTAAATGTTTGGTTGTACGTTGTATGTCACATCAGTTAATTTAGAATTTTCTTACAAATACTAATAAATTTCGCTATTAGACGTCTAATTTTCAATTTTTTATCTCTCTCCAATGAGCTAGGGAGTTACAATGGGATTTAGTTGCATCTGTCCATGAAAATAGTGCTAATAGCGACCCTAAAAGTCGTTCGTATATTCGCTGCATTGTAACACGTGACTGCTCAGGTTTTCAAGTTCGTATGTCATCGTGGGAGCCTCCCAAGCATATTAACCAACAGGATGTATATGCTACTTCTCAATCCTCCAAGTCGCAAGAAACAGTTGTTAGAGTAGCTGATAATTTTAAATTGTCTGACAAAATTATAAACCATTCATATGACGGTAATGAAGTAAGTTGATAAGTTTGCTTTTCTCGTAATTCATGTACAACATTTTAAATTACTTGGATTGCAACAACTTATCAATTACTATATATATCTCTAAATATTCTTAGCAAGAATTTTGAAGTGTACGTCAAAATTATTAATATAGTCTTCAAGAACTTTCATCTAAACTTTGAACGAATAATTTTACAGTATTTGGACACCAAGTTAATGTAAGACATTCAGGAGGAAGAATACATCTGTAAAATCCCAGCGATTGAATTTTAAGTAAATCTAATGTTTCGCTCTGCATTCCAGTTCAAGCTCTTTCCAGGAAATATAACCAGACATCAAAATTATCGAATATAAATAGGTTCATGGTTCTCCGGTTAACTGTATACTAAATAGGTCATCTAGTCATGTTAACAATGTTTGAACTAAATATTTATTGTAGTGCGTATGAGACATGGGGTGTTTTACAAAATGTGTGTTAAGATAACAGATTATGATTATTTTTAAGTGGATCTAAGGTGTGAGAAGAAATTTATTCGACAGTCTATCGCTTCTGATCGGTGAATTTTCAAAGAAAACATACAAATTTATATATGATATGAGCCGAACATGTCATAGCATGTATAAAATGAAGATAAATAAACAAAATAAGTGTTTTTTTCATTTTTGTATTGCTTGTTTGAATCTTCTTATTGATGTTAAGGACTTCAATTGATCAGTCTCCTATTAGCATATGTGCATCCTGTCCAAATTGCCTCGATATTGCCTTAAGTTACAAACATTATAAACAAAGATGGGTGGTGGTTAACAGTGAAATCCAAGACGTGTGTCCCGTCCTATTTGGGACTCGTTAGCTGGATGTACCCTCATCCCAGATTTGATGTTCACTCCAGGACTAAAACCCAGTACCGTTCGCTTTAAGCGTTATGGCGTAACATCTATGATAGTAGGATTAAGTCCCTGACGGAGCATAGGTTTTTTAGACTGCTCAGGTCCGTTGATGATAAGTATCAGATAACACGAAATGTAGTTTCAATAGTTCATTCTGATTCCCTCCAGTCATCTTAAGGCAGGATAATATTTACCACGAATGTTTGCATCTACATAGGTCTACTGTTCTTTGAAATATGTTGCGAAATTATTTGGTGAGCAGGAAGAAAGGCGAAATCTTACAAGGAAATTTACTCTTTCTTGTTTTTGTTAAAAATCCCGGTAAATGAGCCGTTTGTTTCGGTCCTTTCAAAACGATTTTCTATGGTTGCCTAGTTGACTTTATTATGAAAGACTTACAAAGATTATCACTTAGAGTTTATATTTATATACTGCGTATTCGATATCATAATAATTCTTTTCAAGTAACCATTCATTCTTTTTGTTATTAATGGTGTTTTTTGCGACATCTACTCCACTAAAGTTTAACTTGTGTGATTGTAATTGTTCAAAGTTAAAATTTTGTGTATTTTTTCCTTACCACTACACAAGCCTCAGCACCCATTGATAGACTAGTAATAATAATACTAAGTTCCCGTAACCTATATTTGAGTGTCAACCTGATGATTATGGTCATCTTCCACATCGAAGTTGAAGGTTTTAATTGATTTAGGTTGTTTCTTAAGTATCTTGTATATGTACGTAGGTTTTCAAAATTTTTATTGTTTTAACCAAGTTAGATCATGTATTAATGAGAATTCTTTACTACGTAGTGGGTTGAACATCCTTTTTTTAGTAAAATAACTTTTCCAACTTAAGCATATATATTAGAGTTTGAACCCATAATTAGGTGGTTAAAATTCAAACGGGCTAACTGATTGGGCATTGCATATACTTAAAAATTCTTCAGAATCGTTCATAGCTGCTTGAATTTATAATAAAATATTCTATTCATAAGAGTTTCATCCTTCTTTTGTTTGCAAAATTATTTCCTAACAATTTGTTTAGGTGACTTTGCAGTTACTCGACAAAGGTATCAATACTGTTTGCTTACAATATCTTGGTACTGCATTTCCTATAGAGATTATGAACACAACGGCAGCATGGTTTCGTGCCGCTTATATGCCTCCCCCACGTGTTATCGACTGTGGTTCAATTTGTATTGCTCCTATGCCTGGCTTGGTTCGTTCCGTTGCAGTTAAGTTAGGTGATCGAGTGAGCGAAGGTCAAGAACTATGTGTATTAGAAGCCATGAAGATGCAGAACAGCATGACAGCATCGAGATCGGGAGTTGTAAGTTTCATTATTTCGGAATTTTGTACGTGAATATGTCCGCATCATTGTTGTGACTTGAACTTGGATCGATTTTTACCCCATGCCAATTGTTGTGTCCTTGACTGAAAGATTAGAGAACAGTGTATTATCGATCAGATCAAAGACGCGTAAAATACGTAAGAGCGACCTAGAGTTCTGATTGGCCCTGCTTCCCTGTCTAGCCCGGCCAGTTGAGTCCAGAACACAAGTTTCAGCCTCTGAGATATGAATCATTGTATTTCAAGCATACTCTTTTTATATACCAATCAACCCGACCACAACGTACCAATAAAATAGAAAATAACATTTGTACAATAAATAGCCAGAAGTGGCTGTGAATGAGGGAGGTAGCGATTAACAGATAGGGAATAATTCATGAACGGTAAATCACACAATAGTAGTTTATAGGTCAACATAAAGCTGATAATAAGGGGGGTATGAATATGAACAGTTTAGTTGCATAACAATTATGCGATAAAAATATACTCATAATATTGGTCCATAATTGGATCCCAACAATTAGCATTCATTATTCTTATCAGGACACAACAATCATATATTATGTGTAGTGCTAATTGAACATTGGAACACTATGACGATAATAATAATAACAATGGAAAAACTAGTTGTATTTCTAATTAACTGCGATTCTGCACTACTGTAACATGCAATTCTATCTTTTTAACAGTGTTCAGATTTTTTATTTAGATTTATGCTCAGAATAATGTACTGATACTATTCAAAAATTCTGGAAGCCTATTTTGTAAGTTTGTGTGGCTTCCACACACGACTTAGGCTTCAGATGGTACTTTTATTCTGTGTGGTCAGATGAATACTGAAAAATTCTTCTGTTTCCTTACATACAAGTCTAAATTATGTCAGCTAGGGCTAGAAAATAGCAGGACACTAAATGTGTTGCACTGTCCATGTTCATTCAGTATGACTGGGTGTTAATGGGACACTGGATTGTTTAGTCCACGAGTCCTTTAAGTGAAATAAGTTGTTTTTTTTAGGATGTTGCACACTTAAACAGAGTAAGATATCTCAAATATTCATTGGATATGTTAAGTCAGTGGTTACCTGGAAAGGCGTGATTGCTGGTGTTGGGTATAGTTAATCCAAGATAAAATAGATTTTTGATCGTTCAAATAAAAATGTGGTAATGATGTTCAAAATCACTAAATCCTGATGTGTTTCATTTAAATGGCTAAAGGGTTTCCTGTTAATATCACCACAAGAGTAAAATAAGTGAGTTGGTTTTTGGAAAGTTGACTCAAAATTCATTTCACAAGTGTAGATCCAACCACCCTTCAGTAGTTTACGAAGATTGGAGACCATCTATCCATTCTCCGACTGTTTGTCTTCTCTTACCATTGTTATCTGTTCATCTTTAGCCGCTATCTTATTAAATGTGCAAGCTACCAAACTTTTACACCAAATTCTGTACTTACTAGTAACTCATGATATATTTTAAAAGTTATCGCTTCTGGAAAAACATCAGTTAAGATATTGTGATGCAGCTTTTAGGAGATTTGATAGTAAGTAAAGTGATCTCAGTTTCTTTTAGAAGTATAAGGGCAACTGTCACTTCTCAGTTGGCCACACTATACAAGGATACTCTCTTTTAAATGATTTGGAAAGGTAACCGAATTAGTATTGATTTTAGCAACTTGGGAGAGTAACTATAAAGCTCACAAATGAATATGTACACTACATATTGACTTTCCTACTTTTTCCTGTTAAGTTTTCCATTCCTTTATAAAAATTCATTTCTATATTTGTAATTTTTTTCCCCTTCAGATTAAAAAAGTAAATTTCAAAGCTGGTGATTCTGTCGGTGAAGGTGATATTTTAATTGAGTTAGAAAAAGAATAAACTGATCAATATTTATGAAACATTCCTACAATAGCTTGATTAACTTTTTCTCTCTTCACTTATTATGTTAACCATTATTTATGGTATATTCATTTTGATTTCATTATATATTTGTTTTGCATATATATATATATATATATATATATATATATATATATATATATATATATTTTTTTTTTTTTTTCTTTGTTTATTCATATATTCTCCTGTTATGAATTTGTTTGTTTGTTTTGTTTATCAACTATTGTCCGTTACCATTATTGATTATGTTTCTTGCGAAAATAAAAATTTATTTTATTTTAACACATAGATATTGATACAAGGAGGCACCAAATGCATATGCGCCACATAAATCTCATTTGATGTGTGAGGGCTGTGATACTGCCCGGGTGCCCAGGCCGAGGCAGGTGGTTTTCTTAGGGGGCCACACACGGAGCCTTCGACCTGAAGGTCTGATCCACAAGGCAGTGGAGCATCGCAAGGAGATGCGGTCCCATGGTAGACGGTGACCAACGATTGGTTTATACGCCATTTGTTCCCTCAGGAGACTGGAGCCCATGTGCAACATTGATTTGGTTTGGGATCCGGTTAAAGCGCCGGACATTCGCTTTTCGTCCTCTCAATTTCGTAAACAACACCCGTGGTGCGAGAAGGCAGTGAGTAGGACTTCCCTGGCAGAGGCTATATACACGTGGCCATGTGAGAGCATTTCGAGAGGAAGAGCGGACTCCCACCCACCCCCGGCCGTACCAGGGCATTCGGGGGCGAAAATAAAACAATATTTTCCTACTAATCAATAATAATTTCCTTTTTGCTTAGCGATATATATATATATAAACATGTATTTTTCTTATTATAAAAATACTATCAGCTTATAAATTGAATATATATTGTTTATGTTGAATAGAGGGAATTTTTGTATATAACATAGTTGTGCAACATTGATCTATTGAAAAGATAAAATTACTAAAAAAAAGATTGTTTTTCTGATGATAATCTATTTCAGTAGAGAAAAAGACCTTTCAGTAAATTTGAAATCGGTATTGTATCACAGTAGTGTAGTGAACAAGAACACGGGTGGGGACAATCGAATGTATTTAGTACGAAAATTACAGACTGTCTCAACAAAATCTGAATACCATAAAGTCAATCGTCAATTTGCAAATTATCAATGCATCATATCAAACTGTACTGTTCAAGTTGCAAACACTAATCCATTGTCTCCCATTTCATTGTTCATAGGTTTTCTTACAAATTCCATTGCGTTCTTGCTCCTCTTTTCTTGATCTTCTCCATTTTCTGCTGCCAGACATTACATCCTTTTAACGCACGTTATATACTACTTATGTCAATATAAGTAGCTCACACCACAGTAGTAGTTTGTACAATATACTGTAGTTCAGTGAATAGTTTTTAAGTCAGTGCTTAAACGATGCAAATAGAAGAGCACAGTTACTAGGGAGTAAAAATTATTTATACTATCGTCGTGCAATGCTAACCGGTGTTGGGAATGGCTGGAAGGAAGTTAGGGGCGGCCAAACTAAAACGTGGCATCATTGCTTGAAGACACTAACTTCTGGTTTTAGTCATGTTGGTGGGTGCAGACTACTTGATTGGGGTCTGTGTGACTATCGTAACCAGTGGTTGGAGACTCTTGGTGAAATGGCTCAGAATCGATCACAATAGCGTAAGTGTATACACTATGTCCTCCCTTAAACTATGAGATTAAAATTGCTTCATATCTTTCTTTCTACGTACTAATTCTTTCTTCCTGTACTATATCCTTATATGCAATCTTTCTTTTATGTATTACCACCATTGAATTAACTACTTCTATAAATTCGGTGTTCATCTTGCTGTGCTAATGCCATATGACATCTTGGACCGATTCATATATATGCCTGGTCCTACGTTGTAGCTGACGTCAAAGCTCATCACATCCTAATGACTAGGCGTTCTGTATACTAAGTTTAGTAACTTGGTATTTCAGTGTGCTGTAATTCATATCTGTTATTTGAGAGATTTCATCAAGAATCCTTGAATTTGGTTTCGGTACTATGAGTCAGCACTGAGAAATCCGTCCAGTGACTTCCGATCTGTTTTCCAAGGGTTCAGTCTCAACATTTATAGATCACATTTAGTGTAATGCATAAAACTCAATATGTCGATATGTAAATTAACATGAAAGCTGTCAAATGAACAAACAAAAAATATATTTATTATTGACTCTGAGTCCGACCACACAAATCTCTAACCACTGGTTTTAGTTACCACGATCTACAACCAGGTGGTTTGCATCTACCGACACGACTAAAAAATAAACTTTCGAGTATATCAATGAATTTCTACTGATTAATAATAGACTACAAATGAGAAGGATTTCTAAATATGAGTTAGCCACTTCATCCCTAAAATTGAAGTTAACTAAATTTGAATTCCCTTTTTGTTATTAAAATAATCAATATTGTCCAATAACACGGTTCTAATACTTATTAAATATATAATGGATATTAACTAATATATTAAATAAATGGAACGTACAAACTATGCAAATTCGTTTTTTAACTTGTACGGTACTAAAATTGATTTTGGACATTAATGTCAGTCAGTTATCATTAACTTAGACCGTAACACGGATGTATCTTAATCCAAGTTTCCATAATACATTAACACGGTGGGATGAACTTAAGGAAATAAATTACAAAAGAGATTGAAGTCATGCATTAGCGATGAAGAAAGAAACTGAACATCAAGAAAATGGTTCAAAAAGAGTGGAAGGGTATGTTGAAAGGAATACTGGGATTTTTAGAATCAAGAGGATTAAAAGTATGTGAATCTGCACCATTACGAACGATCCGTAGCTACGTCACTCAAAGTCTCCAACCGTTGGTTGGAGTTATCACAACCAGATAGTCTGTGTTTATCCTTGTAGCTCCGACCAACAGTCAATGGCTTCATGGCCTGAAGCCACTTTTTGGTTTGGTCACCCTTAGCTTTTCAATAACCCGATCCGACACCAGATAATATCACCCGTTCATATGGGCTATGATTTAGCATACATAATACATGTTACAATCATCTCGGTTGACGATGATTTTCAAACCTATCAGCCGATTTCCTACCTTTGCATTGCACCATATACCTAACTACGGTAGTACGTGGGCAGTACTCCGAAGACACCTATGATTGAGTTCTAGTAGTTTAAGAATATTTTCTATCTTTAGTGGTTGTTCTTCACACTCATAAAGTAGAATTGTTGATCAGCAAACTCGTCCTTTGGTTGGGAGACGAACATCTCGCCTAAGTTACAAGTAACGCGACTCGGCCAAGGCCAATCGAGCTTTCTGAATCCATGTCGAGATCTCGTCAATCACAAACTCATCAGGACTGATGGGACTACCGAGATAAGTGATACGGTGATGACATTTAACCGTTTCACTCCTTAACAGATGATGAGTTAAGCTTTAAAGCTTTTAGAGTTTCACAGAAAAGAACTGACAGTTATGATTGACCACTTATTTAATTAAGTTGGTACATCCGCCGATTAAGTCCTGATAGTAACAACAATTATAGATCCTACAGTCTAGTTAATATTCAGGTTCCATAAAAAATTTAGTTGTTAATTATTTCACGAAATATGAACTTAGTTTTCAAAAAAACTAATATCATTTTAGTTCAATTGTAAGGACTTGAATCTTACTGTTGTTATCATTAAGAACTACAATTGATCAGTTGCTTGGCATATGCGCGTCCTTACGGGATCACCTCAATATTGCCAGTAATAGTAAGTATTTTCAAGAGGAGTTTGATATTGACTAGCAATGTAAAAGAAAACACTCACTCCATTCAATTGATGTGTCTTCATTCCAACGGGCTTTGTTTTCTAAGAATAACAGTGTCATAATTGATTATTTGTGATGAGTTTTGAACATTTTGACTGTAAATCAGTCTGATTCTACAAGCTCCCACAGATACGACGAGGTATCTGTTCTATTTAAATGTGGGGTAACACAACTTTCCATCAACACCTGGTCATTGTGTTTGATTTTCAAGTAATCTAGCTCAACAGTGTCCGTAATTAATACAGAGGATATTGTTTTTAATCGCGGTTTATCATATTCATATTCAAACTTTAACTCATGTGTACATTATCTAGATGGTTGATGATATGTAAAAAATAGTTAAACCAATCAAATAATTAAGTATCAGTATTTTTGAATACCAACCGAATCACACTTGGAGAAAATCTGGAAGATGTGGAATCCTTCACGTACCTGAGAAGCTTCATCGATGAATAAGGAGTATCGGATGCAGACGTAAATGCGAGGAATGGCAAAGCAAGGGCCGTATTCCTACAATTAAAGAACATATGGAACTTAAAACAGCTGTCAACCAATATCAAAGTCACAATCTTCAATATGAACGTCGGGACAGCTCTACTGTACAGAGTTGAAACGTAGAGAACTACCATCATCAAGAAGGTACAAGTATTTATAAATAGCTGTTTACGCAAGATATTCAATATCCATTGACCGGATACCATCAGCAACAGCCTTTTGTGGGAGAGAACAAAACAGTTTGCGACTGAAGAGGAATTCAGAAAAAGACGATGGAAATGGATAGGTCATACATTACGAAAATCACCAAACTGCATCATGAGTCAAACCCTAACTTGAAACCTTGAAGGGAAGCGGTAAACAAGAAGTACAAAGAACATATTACGCCGGAAAATAGAATCAGATATGAAAAAAATGAATAACAATTGGAATGAGCTGGAAAATATTTCCCACGACAGGGTTGGGTGGAGAATGCCAGTGGGCGGCCCATACTCCTCCACGAGGAGTAATAGGAGTGAGTAAGTATATTTGAATTTCACTTCATTATTTTTGACACATATATAAAATAACTGAGATTACATTCAATCTCAAATGTAATTAAGATGTTAAACTTAATTTATTTTTCATTACTTCGATGAATACATAACACAATAAGAAGCTACATTATAATTGTCACCATTATTTAGTTCATTAGTTTTATAAAATGAACAATTAATTAATGAAAAGTTAACTAGAGTTTTGCATCAAGCTATTTCGAAAATGGTAAACAACTAATTACATTAATTTATTACGTAATTATAATTCAATCTGTAAACTACACAAATTACCACTGACTAATTTTGTATTATGAACATTATGTTATATAATTACAATGGTAACGTATTGCTTTAGAAACGATCAGTTAAACGGAATTAGGATGAATAAATGAAATTATTACTTGTAAACTTATTACCATTGAATAGTACAGATTAGCTATGAAATTAACAGGTTAATGAAAATATCTACAAATTTTTAAATATGTACAACAGATAGAAATGATTTTAATAGTTGAAATCATGAGTCAATTGAAGCTAGATCACCATAGAAAACCTAGAAGCACTGGATGGCCGTCTCGTTCTACTGTGAGACTTCTCAGCAGTGCACATCCACGATCCCACCTTGCAAGATTCGAACCCAGAACCTATCAGTGCTTAACCACTAAACCACTGAGCCGGCATACAAAGGTGTTAATGTCTAATTTCAAATAATCCACGAAATTGAGCGAATGAAGTCAAAATTTTGTTGGGCATTTCTATGTCGTTAGCTTTGATACTTGTAGATTATGTTCTGAGTGTGAAATATTATATATACTGATACTCGAAATTCGTTCCAGTATATTACAAGTTAAAAACCGAATTTGCATAATTTGTACGTTCCAATTATTTGAGACATTAATTAGTATCAATTGTGCATTTAGGAAGTATTAGGACTGTGTTATTGGACAATAATGATTATTTTGCGAATGACAAAAACGGAATTTAACGTTAGTTACCTTTCATTTGTCTATTCTTAAAATAGAACTGTAATTTATCGACTAGTGTAGTAATGCACTGATTTGGGTTAATGATTATCATGATAAAATGTAGAAATAAGGCTAGTAAACGAATTTGCTAAATAGCAGCTACAAAAACTAAAGTGATAAGATATGAAGTTTTTGTAGTAAAATGTTGAGTAAATACACATGTATTACTGGTGATCTATCCGAATGAATTAAAATATCTTCTTGCAGCCATATTAAACCCTCACTTCAGTACCTATATCTGATGAAGGTTAAATAGTTTCAGTGTTTTTTTTTAAGCATAATATCATAAGGCTTGGATGATGAAGGCAGAACCGTTAGAATAGAGTTATCTTTCTCTGCTTCCGTCTAGAATTTTGTTGATCCTAATATTAATATAAAAATGTGCACATTCAGTACAACTATACACTGCCCATAAGTGTGGTAATTTATTGTGCATGATTTACATGATCATACAACTTCTGTTAAAATTAGTTCTTTATCTCTTTCAAAATTTATTTTTACTCAACGGATTTCGTGCTATCGTTGGAAGCGCCAGTCAACTCAGAATTAGCAAGGATTTAGTCTAGAGAATGGAAAGCTAAAATGTGTAGAATTAATTCACCGAGCAAAACTATATACGGCAATTTAAGCTGTTTTTTAGTAATATGATACTGCTTGTTTATTTAACACACTTTTTATTCGAAAACGGAATTAGGACTTCACAAGCATATGAATGCAATTTTGGAATTCGCATAACAGATGAACCTTCTTCGTATGATTAAGTTTAGTTTTTTTATTGATTCCCCGCTTCATGTTAATGATGTGATTCTGGGTTCTTCTGACAAGTACATCATTGGACCTTCTTTCGGTTTTAGATGCTTTAATGTCAACTTTTTTAATTTCATTATAAAATTAGCTTACTTACAAATATTAAGTAGTAAAACATTAAAAACATTATTGAATGCAAATGATAACCAAATTGAAATACGTATTTTATCGACCAATAGTAACCATGTGTTAGTTTAATCTGTAATAAGCACGGCATATTTATAGCCTATGACTCGCTTTTTATTTCGTTATTCAGCGCAATTCTAAAGAAAACTTAGAAATAATCAATTAACAGTTCCACTCAGAGTTTTTTTAAAAATCATATTCATAATTAGTGACCTTATTTACTAGTTAATATATAGATGATAAGTTTCATAGCATGCTATTTGTGCTAGAAAATGTTCGCAAAAGCTAACATGTGATTTTTTTATAGTTCTACCCGCAAATTATAAATATAATCTAAGCATAACTTAACAATGAAAACCAATAAGCCAAATTATGAAATCAAAATCGAAGTGTAACATTAACTCTGATAGTCTTAATATTGACGACACTATTAGTAGTAGTACTGATTGTTATTTTAACAGTCATGAAAATCTAAGTCCTACAACTGCAACTTTATTACCAAGAAATTTATTGGATAGTCCAGTATTTAATGACCAAATCATTTTACCATCAACTTCATTTTTGTCAACATCAAAGAAGAAACAAAAAAATTCTCATCTACAAATACCTATAATGAATTTAAAAACAGAAGATAGTGGATCGAAGATTCGATCTTTTGATGATGATGATAATAATAATAATAGTGTCATTAGTTCTGATGTTACTATTTCTACAACAAAAAATACTAATGTCAATCAAAGTACTGACAAATGCTTCACGGGATTTTATTTAAAAACTACTTATTCTGATGTTATATTCATTATAAATGATCCATTTATCATTGAAAAATTGGTTTTACTACCAATGACTAAATTATTTCTTTACTTAATGAAAAAAAGTAAACATAAACTTAATGAAAATGAGTCAAATTATAATTGCAGTAAAAGTAATACTGTTTACACAACCACTAATAATGAAATAAATGACTATTCATCCTTAGTATCATCATCACCATCATCATCATTATCGTCATCGTCATCATCATCAACATCATCATCATCATCTTATTCATGTCAACTGATTCATTCTAAACGTGTATTAATGGAATTATATGAGAACTATATTGAAACTTATGGATATTTAAAACATGCAAAACTATTTATTAAGTATACATTGAAAGATTTTCCTGATTGTGAAGAAAAATCTAACCTTCTGAAATTGCTTAATAAATATGACAAATCAATATGTGTATTAAATAAATCAGATGAATTTTCTATTCAACATAAAATTAATAATGATACATCTGATTTTGGCTTAAATGTTAATAGAATTTCATCGGAATATCAGTTCCCTACATTGTCATCATCATCATCATCGTCATCATCATCATCAATCTCATCATCCAGTACAACGTTATGTCCTTTTCAAAGTTCATCATTTTCAATAAATGATTATCATTATCATTATCATCATCATTATCAACAAGATCAATTATTTTCATCAGATTGGTCATTAAATATTATAAATATATCACCATTCGAGTTAACCAATAATTTATCAGAAGTAAATCATTTCAAATCAAGCTATATTATACATACAAAACCAATTTCAGCTTATTATGGTGATAAGAAACAATTAAATAAAGTAAGTAGAAATAGATTAATGATTGTTATTGTAAAATTTTACAAATTGATTTTCTGATCTATGAAGAATATTTTGATCAGTTTTTAAACAAAATTCTTATCTTTCTTTTTTTTTCCTTTTTTTTATGATAAGAAATTGAACAAGTTTAAAGTAGTGGATCATTATTTTGATAATCTAATGATAAACAAATGAAACATCTCTTATCTAATAACGCGATGGTGTTTGAGGTGAATGGTACTGGGTTCGAGTCTCAGAGTGAACATCAACTCTGAGATGCAGGTACATCCAGCTAACGAGTCCCAAATAGGACGAAACGCGCATCCTGGATTTCACTGCTAGTCATTATCCATCATTGCTTATAAGAAGCTTGTGAATTGAGGCAATATCGAGGCATACGCAAAGTATGCACATATGCCAATAACAGATTGATCAATTGCAGTCTTAAAAAAAAAACTCAATGGGAAGATACAAGCCAAACAATACCAAGTGAATCTCTTATCTAATTTGATAGAAAGAACTATCCTAGATAAATAATGAGAGTAATCTGTTATTTTATTGATTTATTATTTCATAATAGCTATCTTTGTGTAAATACACTTTAATTTTCACAATTGATAGATCACTGGGTGGTGATTAATGTCATGTGTGTCAAGTCCTTATTTAGTGAAGATCGAATGCTATCGACCATGTTGCAATGTGGCCACCAGTCTAGGTGACTCGATATTGCGTGCACTATATATTGAGATTAGATGGTGGTTGGCGGTAGTCTACAGGTTGATAACATTCTATCTGCACTAAATAAGGACTTGACACACATGACATTGATCACCACCCAGTAATCGATCAATTGTGATTACATCTCAATCCTACAGGAGGTCCGTAGAGGCTCGGATAGCGCAGTGGTAACGTCTCTGACTGTGAAGCTGGGTGACACGGAATCGAATCCTCCAGGGAGCACCAGTTCCCTCAAGATTACAGGTAAACCTTGCTGACGAGTGCCAAGTAGCACGAAACTCGGGTCCAGGTTTCCTGTCGACTACCTCCAACCACCATCTAATCTCAATACTTTGATTTTATTATGTAAGCCAAATTCAATCATAAATTTCTTGTAGTTGAAATAAATTGATAAAAATTGGATAAAACTAACTAAATCAGTAATAGAATTCTAAGATATAACTGGTCTAATTAACTTAACATCACAAAGAATTTGATTTGCTGTTTAGTAGTGAAAAGTGTATCTATCAAAAGTACTAACTAACAAAAAATCAACGATATAACATTTCAAGTGTTTCAAGATAACTGAATTAGAAACTCAAGATATGATGAAGTGATTCAGTTAACGAATACTCTAGGTGTTCTGATGATCCAATATTCGATTATTCAACTTTGTAGACGATAAATATTTAATGAACAATGAAAATGGATTAACTTCAACAAAATATCAAGAACTGAACAGAATTATAAGAGACACAGTAAGAGAGAGATAAAGCGAGCTGAACAATTAGCCTATATCATTTAGTATGCAATTCAGACAGCGTTTAGAATTGTATGAGGGAGTGGAAAATATAGGTTGATCTTGCGTATTTCTGGTTTAAAAGAGCTAATTTCCTATTATGTCTAAAGTTGAGTATGAGGTAATATGGGAAATTGGTAACGAATTGGAAATTTTAATTTGTGAAATAATAGTCCAATTAGTGCACTTGGAGCATTAGACAGAACTAAGGTTTTCATATTCGAACTCGTTCTGATATCACAAATTGATGAGAACCAGTGAAATATTAGAGAAACAATAGTTGTTTGTCTTTCTGTGGTGATTTTATTTTTGACTATTTGGTTATGCACAGTTTTATGAATCTAGAAGCATTAGACTCAGCAATTTGGCTCATTTGTCGAGGTTTTACACATTTTCGCGTTATTTCAAATATGACTGACGTCATAATCTAGAAGAAGTCCTGCTCTAGGTGAGAAAAAATGTGTAAATACGCCTGATTCAAATAACCTTTTGAATAACTTTGATCCATAAATATAACTGTTTTTCTGCAATAGGAACTTTTTAAAATATTTAACCAGTAAGTGATCCAACTAGATTTCTGTCAAGTTTCTATTGATCTTTAAAAAGGCCCTGAACATCCACTAAGTCAATGTTTTGGTGTATTTGAGAAACACTATTAACTTGGCGTACTTATATTTATAACTTATATATCTTTTGAGTTACTGAGGCAACCTCTCACGAACTGTGTATCTTAGCCAAGATTTACGTCCAGCGAACTCCAAATACTTCCCACCAACTTCATAATCAGACCAATCAATTTTAATAGATGCCATATTTTATGCATCGTTTGCAAAATATGAAGACCTTCCTACCGATCAATCAAAACTCGAGGTTGAAAAATAATGCTACAGAGGCAAATTTCTGAAATTTCATCATTGATGACATGATAAGCATTTCTTGTAAAGTTTCAAAGATCACTTATTTTCGTCTTATCAAAGCGATCGGATGTTGGAGCTAATGGAAAAATAAACGATAACCTTTAGAGCAAGAGGAAATCATCAACTGAGTATGCGGTAATTTTAACTTCTTGAGAAATGTTTAGGATCAGGTTAAATATTTTTTGTTCCAACCTAATTTTTTCGAAGGGTACCGATGTTTAAAACAGAACTTTGATCGAAAATAAATAATAGCCTAATACATTCTTTAGAAAGTAACGATTAAATTTCGCAGTTCGTAGGTTTGGAATATGCTACAATAACGGTCGAAAGTAAGATGAAAATTCGACTGTCTACGCTAATGTAAGACAAGAATAAGGGGAACATGTAGGAGGAGCATGTAGAACCAGTAATGGTTTCTGACCTTCACTAGTTTACCAAAGATTTTAAAGTCGGTATCTCGATCAAATATATTTGTTCAAATACCACCTTCATGACTACAATCCATAAAAAAGATCAACAGGTAAGTTAATACGGAACCTGTACCACAGAGATAATTAAAAACACGTTCTATGAATGTCGATTCTACAAGTACTACATGTAAGATGACCATTGCTTCACATAGCAGTGGCCTGTGAAGGCAAGAGTATGCGTTCAAATCCTGATTTACGGAGATTTTGAAATACCTCAGATATCTGTGAGTGAACCTTTATTCAATGTCCACATCCTGATCTATGGATATTCTTAACAACTACAATCATACTTTCCATTTAGATAAATCAATATGAGTTTCTTTTCAAATCGATTTTTCTTATTTCTGTAGACTGTTAGACACCTTACCACATTGAGACCAGAAATCAAAACTATACTTTCCTTTTTACCGGTTTAGGTTTCGTCAGATAATTCAAAAAGTAAGAACGATTCATTATTCAACATACGCTACAAAACACAAGTATGCAGATATTTTCAAGAACACGATGGTTATTGTCCAGCTGGAGTAAGATGCCATTTTGCACATGGTATAATAGAACTGCGAGATCCGAAATCTCATCCAAAATTTCGTAGTCAAATATGTCGAAACTATTCAACCACTGGTAACTGTTCATATGGTGATAAGTGCTATTTTAAGCATTTCATAAATGATTCGAAGTCAAAAACAACAGTAACAACACCAAAATTAGAAGTATTCAATGATAAAGAAAATCCATCACCTGATTCAACTAGTCAACCAATGAAACATCTAATTAATTCAACAACAAAAAAGTGATATTACAATGAAAGGACAAATATCGAAGTATAAACGAACCAATGATGAAAGAACTTAATGAATAAGCAAAAAATGTTAATAATACTGACTTTCACCTAATTAGTGAAGTGTAATAAAATCCCTATTTTTAATTCTTACTTGACAATTTAAAGATCCCTACAGAGTATTTACAAATAAAGAAAAAAACATGTTTGAATGAACAATCATCTTTAATAAATTCGTCATTAAGTTCTTATATATTAAAAGAGTTATAGACTGATGGTTATAGTGTTGACCTGAAAATTCTTCGTTTTTCAACTGCTAATTTAATGCACATCATACATGGTGCCTATACAATGAATCATAACAAAAAGAAAATAAAGATAATTGGTAATTTAGTTGTTTTCCTCAAATACAAAGTAATCACTGGTTAGTGTTTTTTTAGCGAGTTAGTTTTCTACGGGACGTGGTCGTTAACCCCATGCCCAACCTTCCTCCTTTATCCGGGCTTGGGACCGGCAGTAGCCCCCGGAGGGACCCCAGGCGGAGTTACAAAGTAATCACATGTAACTAAAATTTACGTAACAGATTACAACTTTATACAATAAACAATATTAGTGAAACATACTATACAATTCATATAAAGTGAATTTTATAGTATAGTAGTATAGTATTCAAAAAATTTCATGAATTTGCTTCGAATTTATTGGATTCAAAAAGATTACACAATTAAATGTAGATCAATTATCTATGAATAATCAATGTTCTTGATTGTTGATGGTGTGAGTTCGGAGATATAGTACTGTTATAACTTGTGACCTGTGTGCCCTGTTAATGTATAACGTAATGATACTGCCAATTAGAGAGCAGTGAATTATCGATCAGATCAATGACGCATAATAGTTCATACGTCAAAATAAAGTTCATAATAAGAAGGGTATAAATATGAATAGTTTAGTTATTTAACAACTATACAATAAATATATACGCATAGTATTGGTCCATAAATGGATCCTGAAAGTTACCATTCATTATGCTTATCGGGACATAACAAATACCTACAACAATAATAGGGGAAAATTCTGGTTGGGAACAAACTTCCGTCACTAGAAATCGTGTATAGGTTAACCTAGAATGATCATTATTTCTTCGAATAATATGGAATTGAAAATGGATAGTTTTTTAAAAGATGAATCAATTTAACTAAACAAGTCTATGCATATTGACTAGTGAACATTTGCTCTATTTATATGCTTCCTGTATATCGAAAATGGAAAAAAAGAGAATTGTTTTTACACAATATCACAGACAGAATCACGAAAAAGAGAGTGAATTTAAACTTCACCCCGTTGCACAAGCAAGTGGCTCTCAGGGCTCAGTAACTAAGTGGATAACGCGATGGCGTTTCAAGTGAACGGTACTGGGTTAGAGTCTCAGACTGAACATCAATTCTGCGATGCAGGTGCATCTATCTGACGAGTCCGAAATAAGACGAAACGCGAGTCCTGGATTTCACTGCTAACCACTATCCATCTTTACTAATTAATTATAAAGCCTTTAAATTCATCATTTCCCTTAAAAGTGATATCAGTCGTGATGAATTCTTCTTTATAGTTAGTCAGTTGGTTTATCAGGACCTAAGGAAATGCTTTCGAAACCAGTCACTAGATGTTGAAATGATAAATATCTCGTTTAATGGTTTAAATTAATTTAAACAGTTAAACTAATGATCAAGTAAGACTGAAAATTTTTTTTGAAACCATACTTATTTACTTTTATAAATGTTTCACCTTGTCATTCTATTGTATCAGTTTTCAGTAAGCTAAGCCAATTCAGGATGAAAATTGTCTTGATGTGTTTCATCTCATTGTATATATATAAATATATACCATTAAAAGAAATTAGGAGAGGTTTAAGCAGAGTTTAATTCTAAATGAAATCACAACAGACAATCAGCTTTGTTGTTTAGCTCACTTCTTAAATAACTCCTACACTCACTCACTCACTCACACACCCACACATACATACATACAAAAGATATTAATTGTCAATAAAAATAGCCTTTGAAAACAATTAGATTTATTCGAACTTTCTTAGTTGAGCCATCACTAGAAATAAGTTTTGCCATTCATGATTAGTAACACATTGAATGAATTGTTGAATAGATTAAGGAAATAAAACTTATATTTCATTACATATGGATTTTTAGAAAAAAAATAATTAATTGATTTCACGATTTCATTTGTTATGTTGAAAATGTAATGAAAGATTTTCTAGAGGAAAGATTTTAATCATTCATTAATTTGAAATTCCAGCCAGACTATAATTTATGAATGAGCCAATCAGAAACGTTTGAGTGATTTCAAGGTCATAGCGCCAAGTTCACTACCTGATGTTCACCTACGATCGGTTCATAACGGATTGTAGAGAAAACAAGATAATTAAGCGACTACAATGAATGAGATTATTAAGAAGTTCCTTTATTTGTGATTGTGGTGACCACATGATCTGTGAACCTTGTTCAGACTATCGTTATGATATTGTCTCTCGATGTAATATGTGTTTGTGGAAGAAGTCTGCTAGAACAGGGTTTTATCGCTCGATCCAGATTGAGACTAAGGTAAATTATGACGATTGTTACGAACTGGATAATAAAAGCACCAGTAACACTGGCTTCAGCCGGGTACTACAATATATACGGATGATTGGAAAGCGTACAGATGCATACATATACTTGGTTATATGCATTGTGTCGTTGTCCACAAGCGGCATTTTGTGGATCCGACGACCGGAGTGCACACAAATAATATCTAAGCTATGTGATCGAGGCTGAAAGGGTTTTTGCGACCTTATCATGGCTCCAGAGGCCGAATATTATGGAGCCATATGGATGGGTTCTTCTACCGTATGCATTACAATTTAGAACCTCTGAACCCCTTTCTAACCTCGATAAATTTCTGAACCATGTAAAAGAAGTGTATCCATTTTACTTCTTTGGTTTTGTATATTTTTAATCTATACGAACTGTTTCAGGATTTAAATAAAGCGAGACCGAAGACCCCGAGTTCGAGTCCCGCGAGCGAGACTGTGGATGCGCACTGCTGAGGAATCCCACAATAAGACGAGACGGCCGTCCACTGCTTCCAGGTTTTCAATGATAGTCCAACATCAATCAGTTCTTGATCTCAATCAAAAACTTAACAATCTCCACAACCCCTAAACTGGGAACGACTCAACTGCTTTCGATTAATTTCAATGAGAAGATAATCTTATTAAAAGATATTCACAATTTAATAAAAATATTAAAAGACTGAAATAAATGATCTTACATGGTCATTCTAAAATAAAGTGATCAATCAAGATGTTTAGTAGATAAAAAAGACACAAAAGTATGTTTTCTACATAATCTGATATTTTTCATATTAAAGCTACAAACAATAGAAATGAACAGTTAACTTATTTATGGTTGTCACAATATTTCTAGCGAATATTCATTTATGATGTTATTAACCTAGACTACTAAATTACTATCAATGCCCTTCGTAAAACAGTGCTAGGATAAACTCATTGATTAGCTCTACGAGGTCCATAGGCATTAACTCATAAATATATTTGGAATATTATCGACATATGATTGAACCATAAGTTAAAGGCAGGTCAGAATGGTTTCATAAATGTCGACTATATCTTATATTTCATAATCAAAGTAAACGTGTGGCATCATGATCATCCGAACGCTCAACAGTGATAATTTTCTAAATAATAGGTTTACAATAATAGACAATTAATTTCAAATTTCGTACTAAGTTTTTATATCTTACTTAACATGTAAGACATTTCATCGATGTCCTTTGATTATTTACTTAGTTTGAAATATGTAAAAATCAGTGGTGATAGTTGTAAAATCTACTTCAAATATATTCAAGTTATTTACAATTTTAATCAAAGAGGGGTTTTTAAGATATTATAGTAATTTTAATAGTCGAATTCATGAGTCAATTGAAGCTAGATCATCATGGAGAATGTGGAAGCACTGGACGGTCATTTCACCATAGTATGGGACTTCTCATTAGTGTGCATCCACGATCCTGCCTCGCGAGATTCGAACCGAAAACTTGTCAGTCTCGCTTGCGAGCGCTTAAACTCCCATAGTAGGATGAAGTAGCCGTCCAATGCTTCGAGATTCTCCATGATGACCTAGCTTCAATTGACTCATGAATTCGACTATTAAAAATTACCATACCAAATTATCATATGCTCACTAGTGATGTTCTCCAAGAGGTATTTCCTGGAGTTTAGTCGGATCTGTTGTAAGATAATACCTCACTGAAGACATTAGTGGACAGTCGTATAACTTCATGGATTAGTTGAAGTTAAATATTAACACCGTTGGATGCCAGATCAATGGTCTAGAGGTTAAGTACTCACTCACGAAACCGAGAAGTCCTGAGTTCGAATCTCGCGGGGCGGTATCGTGTATTCGTACTGCCGGGACGAAACAGCCGCCCAATGCTTCCAGGTTTTCCATGATGATTTTCGCTTTAATTAACTCATAAATTCCACTATTAAACTTATTTACAATTTTGTTTTCATTTATATTATTAGACTTTGTATACAATTCGGTAATTTCTTATGTCATATGTTAACCATATGGTTTCACTTTGGAAAAAAAAAGAAGTTTAAACTCATTACAATCAGATTTCTATTATTTCTATATCCTACTTAATTATCAATTCATCAACTTTAAACAACTGTTTAGGTTATTTTTAATAACGATTTAAAAAGAAATAATGCTAATATTTATCTTTCCATCTGTTATAATAAATAATACTTTACTATATAATACAATTTGATATAATAATAATAATGATAAAGGTATACAGTTCTATTTAATTGTGAAATAGTTACTGTATATAAATGATTAATTAACTTAAATATGATTATGTAATCATCATAAACTATGTGATAATGATAAAGAGATCTTATGTAAATTTTTCATAAATAAATAATTTATATAAATATATTAGTAGTATAATCAGTAGTATGTTTTATTTATTAATTTATTTTATTTTTTTTAAACTCATTTTTCATGAGAAATTCACCTTTCATAGAATAAGTTACTAATAGGGTTTTTTTAAATAATGGTTTTCATTGAAAATGATATAACTGTTCAAGGAAAAGTTGTATGTATATATATTTAAAGTAGTAGATGGAACTTTGTTTAGAAACATTTTCAATGAAGGTACGGCCGTCTAGTGCTTCCAGGTTTTCCATGATGGTGGTCTAGCTTCAATGGACTCATGACTTCAACCATTGAAATGACTATAATATATCCAAACATCTTTCTGATATGAATCAACATATGATCACTAGTGACTGGCTTCAAGAGGTATTTCCTGGAGTTCTAGTGAGAAACAGTGACAAGTAGAGT